ACACACACACACACATATATGGCTCTATGCTAATTCAGGACTTTGTCAAATTTGCCGAAAACTATAAAAAGAAACCACAATCCTTATCAATATCAGGGATTTCCCTTAAAATAGCTACAAAAAGAAAACAAACGGATGAAAAACACATGAAAGGTGCTAAACCATTGGTGCATAAAACATTCTTTAGAAATTTAGATAACATCTGGTGAACTCCCTGGTGCTCATTTCTGCTGTAAAACATTACATAACTGAGATTTCTGAAGCTTTAAATAAATTAAAAGGAGTGAAATAAAGCATTTCCTGACATCATGTTGGCCCCACAAAATGCCACTTTTGAGTAGCTTTTGCATCAGAGGAGGTCCCTGGGTGTGCTCCTTGAGGAAAACTGGTGTGGGGCCTCCTCCTCCTCCTCTTATACATGGGGGCCTCCGGCCGGATTCAAGAGGCCAGGCTGCTTCCTTGAAATTCTTTCGGCATGCGCTTATGTTTTGGCAACTCGCACAAAGACAAGGTTTTCATAATCAAGATTCTCCCGTTTCCTCCAAGGGGGGAAAAAAGGCAGCTGAATCCACTCACGCAGACGAGACAGTCAGGATTTCTCAACATGGCCAAGYAAACAACCCGGGCAGGTTCTCTTTRTTTYTATATAAATGAGTATGAAAGGGAGTCTGGGTGAATGCTTCAAAAGAAAAAGCCGCAGATGGAGGGTAAAAAGAACAAAACCAAATTCCTGAGTAGACACATGTGCAAAGCCTCACGTGGACGCCAGCAAATCTTCTGAGAGGAGAAAACATGCCTTCTGAATATGTCCATGCTACCAGGGAGGTGGGGTTCAGATTATCAACCTCTTGTAAAAAAATAAAAAATTTTAAAAAATGGACGCAAAAGTTACAAAATGTTTGGAATTCAGACACGTCTCACATCCACTGCTTGTCCAAACAGATCTAAGGCAGCTTGTGTGCACATGTGTACGTTAGGAATTCACTGTCAGTCTTTAAGAAAKGGCCAGTCTTTATTATTAAAGAGGCCGACAACTGATAACTGCAGCTACTTATATCAGTAAAACCAGATCGGACTTTCTATTTACATTTTAACGAATGTGCAAAGCACTTTGAAGACTATTTATAGCCRAATAACTAAATTTAACAAGAGTTGTAAGCATTCATGTGTTGTGTTCACGGCTGCARGTCAGTAACAGCAGGTTCCTGAAGGCCTCAGTCTTCTAAAATAAACAGCTTTATCAAAGACTTGTGTGCTCACGCTTCAGGCTGAACGTAGAGCCGGCTTGTCTTTGTTTTTCTCTGTGTGTGTGTGCGCGTGTGTGTGTGCGTCAGCATGAAAGTATGAGTTCAGCAATAAAGCAGACTCTTAGGTGTTTTGGCAGCCTGCTACATTCTTCTGCGAAAGCTTTTCTTGCACTATTTTTTAAAGGAGGTGATGAGATTGTTTTTTTTTCCTTTCCTCCTGATGGAGTTGTGCAACACTTTGAGTCTGCTCTTTCTCCAGCGCAGCACATTTGGTGGGATACTTTTGCAGAGGAAATGGAGAGCATGTTTGTGGAGTGAGTCACCCTGTTTACGGGTAAAAAAGCGGCGGCCAGCGGCAGGGAATCACACCCTCCTGATCTAACGTTTCCTGGAAAATCCCGTTTGTTTCACGGGAGAGGAAGGAAAAGTACAGAGAACCTTGGAAAAATGTTTGGCTTGATCAGCCGGAACGTTTGAACAGGAAGGGAGGAGGACTCACCAAGAAGATATTCTCCCAGTAGCTGGGAGAAAAAAAGAAATGTCAAGAATGCGAGGGAAACAAAAGTGCATCACAATTCACCTTTTACATTCGACCTAATAGGTGACTGAACAGATGAAACTGTTTCCTAAAAGCTTTTAATTATAGCTCAAGATACGTGCAAAGATTCTGCTGCATTMGTTTCCAAAACAACTCACTACCGACACATTTACAGGCTGGGTGGAACAGCATGACATGTTTGTTTGTCCTACTGATCACATTCAATTCGAGTCACATGGATTCGGCAAACTGCCATCGGTCCCATTTCAAATTAAAGGCCTAGCATTCTGCGAAGGAACGCACATCGCCCTGCCACCTCTCATGTTTTAGATTAATACAACTTCATGTTGAGAAATGAAGGAGTGAAAGAGAARTGAATTCATATCCACACGATGCGCCTTCGCTTGTGTTGTGAATGACTCGGCTACTACCACGTCTAATTTTAGCTCAGTGTTTATAAATTGACTGACCTGAAATAATGTTTGTGCTGGCTAGTGCCAATTAGCTGCAGTAGTCCATCTTGAACTGAACTGACTTCAAAAGTAAAGCAATTGTAGACACGATAATGAAATCCATCCAGTTGTTTCGGAGATATTTTGCTAACAAACAGGGCAATGCTAAAAGAGCTCTTCAGCCATTACCGCACCAAACCTCAGCATAAAATCTACGTAATGGCCATTAAAGCCAGTTTTTGTGATTTCTAGATCCAGTTGGCTGTGGCGGCCATCTTTAATTGGATTGGCTGCAAACATTATTTACTTTTAGAAGCACATTCAGTGATCGTTTCTCAACAATTTCATTAAAATCCATCTGGTTGTTCWTGAGATATTTTGCTAACAGACAGACAAAGTTGCCTCCAAATAGGTAATGGCCAGATTTTGCACTTAAGAGCTTATACAATCAACTAGCCCTTAAATTGTGCTTTAGAAATCCCTCTCAGCTACTACCATACCAAAATTCAGGGCAATATCTGCAAGGCATGACTGAGATATAGCCATATATGTGTTTTGGAAAGTCAYATGGCTGGAACAGCCATTTTCAATCAAGTTGCCTCCAAACGTTAATGAGCAGTAGARGTTCATCCTTTGATGACTTTCTGCGTGTTTGATTAAAATCTGCCCTATGGTTCACAAGATATTTTGCTAACAGCCGTGATCAGATGAAGCCGTCTAAGAAGTAACTTTAGACGGAACGTGTTCACACGTTGATACTCAGATTGTTTGTTTACACTTTCCAAACAAAAACACTGGTTTGCAAAGTCAACATTCAACGCTAGACATGCTCC